ATTATATATAGTGAACTGGACCCAGACTTATAGTTCTTGAGTCAGGCTCATTAAAATTGACATTACTAAAGTCCTGCTAATTTCCATGGATTGTCTATACCAGGGGGTCAGAGAACTTTTTTACCTTTTACCTCCCCAAAAATTTATATACGCCGACATTACCCCCTTGATTCGAAAAGATGTGCACTATTTTTTCTGGAACACATTGCACTCCAGCCATGGTGTGGTATAGGGAGCAGTAAGGAGTCCAATGTGCCTAGCAAGTTGCATTAAATTTTTGCTAGCTTGCAGAGGATCATCAGTGGCTGCCAGAGTGGTGCTAGCAATGACATGCTTGCTAGAGACAGCCAACACAGAATTGGGGTGGGGGCTTTCCCTACCACTTTAATCATTCTATGTGTGGTGTGCAAAAAGGAACAAACCAGGCTAAAGGTCATGTCACCCACCCTGGTGCCACAACCCAATATCAAAGGACCAGTGTGCTTTTTTTATCATCATCAATGGAAAACTCAGCAGTGGACAGAGGATTGGAAAAGATCAGTCTACATCCCAGTCCCAAAGAAGGGCAGTGCCAAAAAATGGTCTAACTACCATACAATTGCACTCATTTCATACACTAGCAAGGTTATGCTCAAAATCCTCCAAGGCAGGCTTCAGCAGTACATGGACCGAGAACTCCCAGAAGTACAAGCTGGATTTCAAAGGGGCAGAGGAACTAGAGACCAAATTGCTAACATGTGCTGGATTATGGAGAAAGCCAGAGAGTTCCATAAAAACATCTACTTCTGCTTCATTGACTATGCAAAAGTGGTCTGAAGCTCAACATCAAAAAAACTAAGATCATGGCCACTGGTTCCATCACCTCCTGGCAAATAGAAGGGGAAGATATGGAGGCAATGACAGATTTTACTTTCTTGGGCTCCATGATCACTGCAGATGGTGACAGCAGCCACGAAATTCATATTACTAAAAAACACAATGATCCAGTTGGGAGAAGGCACAAAAAAAACAAAATCAGACGGTGGATGGAGGAAAGGCTTGCTTGAACAGCCAGGTTTTCAGTTGGCATTTGAAGATGACCATGCGAATCTCAGGAGGGAGGCTGTTCCAAAGACGAGGAGCCACCACCAAGAAGGCCCGGTTTCTTGTTTTTTTCCTTCCGGGCCTCCCTCGGTATTAGGCTCCTCAGTCTCACCTCCTGGCTAGATCAGGTGGTACGGCTAGACCTGGTTGGGAGAAGGCGTTCCATCAGGTAATGAGGCCCTAAACCGTTTAGGGCTCTATACGTAAGCATCAAGACTTTGAAATCTACGTGGAACCGAACGGGCAGCCAGTGCAAGGCGGCCAGAGTGGGAGTAATATGTTGATATTTCCTTACCCCACTAAGAAGTCTGGCCGCCACATTCTGCACCATCTGGAGTTTTCGCATAGATCTCAAAGGCAGCCCCATGTAGAGAGCAAGCTGATGGTAATTGTTGCAAGGGATAGATTTGTTGGAATTGGGGTTGAAGTGGCTTTCACAAGGACTAAGGCATAATGAAAAGTATAGCTGATCATTCAAAATAAAGAGAAGAAAAAAATGCATTGACTGGAGAATTGTGGAGAATGGTTTGGATGCAGAACAGTTTCATTGATGTTTACAACTGCCATTTCCAAAGTCAATACAGTATAGCCGTGATGATGTCCATTCTTTGGTAGGAAGGGAACAAGAAGGTAGAGTGTTCCAGGGATTCAGTTGTTAACATTATGCTATACCTTTCACTAATGAGCTTTGATGGCATGTGGAAAGATTAAGATAGATATCTTTTAGGTGCTGTTCAAATCTGATTTTTTTTAGCACTGTGCAGCACTGTTGAGTTATTTAGATAATATATTTCAAACCTGTGCTTCCAAACCTTGGATTAGCTCCCAGTCTCTTCAGATTAAAACATTTTAAAGAAATTGTTCAGTTATTCAATAAAAATAAAAATATATAAAGGAAATAATACTTAAATAAAAGATAAATTTTCCAGTGTTTTAATGTGAGAATGGCTGGGGTATGCTTATAGAAACATTTGATTTGAAAGTCTTCTGTCCTAATGTTAACATTAATTCAATGTCTGTTTAGATGAAATCTCGTTGGAAATATATTATCCAAACCAAACAGAGGTTTTTATATTAACTGTTTTATTACGTGTTTTGTGAGCCGCCCAGAGTAAACCAACCAACCAACCAACCAACCAACCAACCAACCAGCCAGTCAATCAGCCAGTCAATCAGCCAGTCAATCAATCAGTCAATCAATCAGTCAATCAATCAATCACTATTTTATGTGATTTTCCTCAAGCTTTGCAAAGTTGTCACTGATGCTTTTTTTCCTTCCAGGTGCCCAGATAATCGATCTTATGATGCTTGTGATAGATATAACAAAAGGGATGCAGACTCAGTCAGCAGAGTGCTTAGTGATTGGGCAGATCGCATGTGAAAAGATGATAGTGGTTTTGAATAAAACAGATCTTCTGCCAGAGAGTAAGCGACAGGCTGCCATTGAGAAGATGACCAAGAAAATGCAAAAGACGTTGGAAAGTACCAAGTAAGTTGCGTAGCGAGACTGGTGGTTTACAGTCAAGCTGATTTGTTCTTAAGGACCTTTTCCTTGCTAATATCTTTGGGGACATTTTATTGCAATAATTCGTTGAAGTTTATGTGAATATTTCCCGTAGATATGGGTACGTGGGGAAAAATTCAGAATAAGTCATCCCTACTACTTCCCATAAGAAGTCTGCTGACTTGAACTATGTAGAGTTTTAGCCACAGGTCAATTCATCATAATCCAAGGCAGTTTGGCAGCAAAGGCATTTGGATACAGTCTGACTTGGATATGTAACTTTGGCTCTTCTTCTCATGACAATGGATACATTTCAGTTTGTGTAGTCCAAGGCTTTGTTACAGGATCCTTGGGGAAGTGAGAGCTACCACATGTATCCCTTGCTGCTCCTGACTAATAAAAGTAGCTAATGGAGGACTAGCCGACTGAGTGAAAGGAGTGGTGGCTGCTTCCTTGTAGCAAGGCAAGGTTCTATCATGTCTAAAGCAGGCAGTAGCAACTGTACAGAAGAAAAAACTCATCTTGAATTCTACATAAATACCAGCCAGCCATCATTATTCTCTTTTTGGGCAAGGTATTAGATTGTGTAGTGGCATTTCAGCTCCCAGGGGTCTTGGAGGCATGGGTTATCTATGAGCCCTTTAACCTAGTTTCATGCCTAGTCTTTAAATGGAGATGACATTGGTTGCCTTAATGGGAACAGGACAGAAGAAGGTCTGTGTCCCTTTGGGTTGTACTGAACCTCTTGGTTTTTTTCCTGGCATTCAACCACTGAGTTCTATTGGACAGTCTCTCTGGGATGCGACTGGAAAGCACAGCTTTACAGTGGCTCTGGTCCTTTCTAGAGGGATAAGCTCAAAAGGTGATACTGGTGGACTCTTGTTGGACACTGGCATTGGCCTGTGGAGTCCCTCCAGCTAATTTCTGTTCCATGTTATTTAACATATACATGAAGCTTCTGGAAGAAGCTGTCCAAGGCTTTTGGGTTTTAAATATTTTATAATTACTAATATTCTTGAGTTTGTAATTTATTGTGTTTTTATTTGCATACATTTTAAAACCATTTAAGAAGAGAGAAAAGAGACATTGGGGCAGGGGTAATAAATACATTAATGTGTGAAGACATTCTATAGAGGGTCAGTTTGACTGAATTATTTTCACATGCAGAGGAATGATTCTACATATGCAAAATTCGCTTATAGTAATTTATTGGAGATATTAAATCTATACTAAGAATGTCTCAGCTAACAGAAGTTGGGTATGACAACTTTTGGGTCCAATAATCAAGATGACAAGAAATATCTTATCATTTTGTGACTGTGAAGATTGTTTTGGGGATTATAGACAAGCAGTAATATTGTCACAAGCTAACTGGATAGCTCAGTGGGTTAGATATGTGGCTGCAGAGGGAGTTTAATTCCCTCTTCCCCGACGAGCCAGTTTACATGGCCTTGAACAAGCTACACAGTCCCAGGGTGTCCCCATGAGGTGTGAATGGTAAACCACTTCTGAATACACTTCTCCCTTGAATTGCACTAGTCTGAGCAGTGTGGCTTTGGTTATACATGGATTTTTTTTAAAATGAATGAATGAATGAATATTGTGCTGCTATTCAGCTCCAGGCAGTGTGGTTTTGGTTATATGTGCATTTTTTTAAATGAATGAATGAATACTGTGCTGCAATTCAGCTCCAGGAAATGGCCTGAGAAAGAGACTTACGAAGAACCCTGTTGTTGGCTGTGCGCTGGCCCTGGGTCTTATGACAGTGGCCCAGCTGGCCCCCTCTCCTGCCGTGGCAACTCCACACGGCGGCTGGGGAGGATGCTGGGGCATGCCGGGAAGTTAATCAACTGTTTATGCTTTGTAGTTACATTTTTGGGAGCATAAGAATTATACATGGATTTTGAACTAGAATGGGGGTCAAGCGGCCTTAACTCCAGAATTGTTGAAAGGAGATGGGGACTTTCTACCTAGGAAATGCTGAAAAGGATTGCCATAGGTTCAGGATTAGCTTGATAGCCACAATTATTTTTACAGTATTATTATTATATTGTCAAATGGGTGTTCAGTCATTATTTTATAACAGCTTTTACTTGATGCAGAGGCTTAGGCATTCATTTGCTATTTTCTTGGCACTCTAATAATTTCATAATTTCATACCATAAAAATTTAATATTTTTTGAGTACCAACATCTAGAGTTAAAACTTCATTTTTTTAAAAAAAAAAGTTTTTTGTTCTTTTAGCTGTAGGTATATGTTGCTTACCAGAGGAGTTACTTTAGGAGAAAACAAGGCTACAGTTAGGAAGTCAGAATTTTTTAAAGTATGTTTTTTTTTACAAGGTCATATTGTAGAAAGATTGGAAAGTAAAACCCAGGAATCTTCAGTCTGCACCTGTTTTATTTAGTTTATTCCCCATCCCTGAGGTTCAGAGGGTTTCAGCAGAAGTAAATAGGATATCTGTTTTGAAAACAGTTGTGTGACAAGTACAAGGCGAGAAAAAGAGCCAGCTAAACTTGATTGCTCAAGCCATCTTATGTCTTATTCCGATTGCAGGATAGTGTCTTTTTGTTCCACGAAACAATCTGAAATATCTTACCGTTTCATCAGCCTCTCTGTTCTTCTTTGCTATGTTTCCTTTTCATGAGTGTACCATAAAGGTCACTGAAGGAAATTTCTGCTTGTAGATTTGATAGAGACAAAATCCCATTTTTAAAAAAGCTCTCCTTCAGGATAGTTGTTGGAGGACAAGCAAATGTAAACAAGGTGGGGGATGTTTTTAGTTAACCTGTATGTAGCTTGGTTCCTTTCCATCTTGCTGCGGTATCTGCCACTTTGCTCTGAGCATTCTGAATTTTACAAAACTCTCGTTTCAAATCGACACCAAGTGCATAACAAAGACTTCTATAATTTGACTGCTGTTTGTAAAATTGGTCAGGTAATATAATATCTCTGACTTTGTGTGTAAGAATGTGCTTTCAATAATAAGGTTCAAGAGACTGGGGAAAAAAAGACTGTGCAAAATTATTATTGTACAGCAAGCACAACTAAGGGATTTTCTGAAATGTTATTTACTTGCTAGAAAGTTCAGTTTAGAGTGCATCTGTGATGCATCTGTTACACTTGAACATAATGGCAACAGATGTTGAGCTGAGAAATATTCAGGTGAGTTGTATTTGTGAAACTGAATACTTTTAATTGGGTTAATCCTCAATCTTTAATATTCTTCTCTGAAAAGAAAAATCATTTTCTTGCTTTTATGTGTGTTGAGACCATGAGTATTACTTCATGTCAGTTTAAATGTGAATCCTGATTATAAATCACAGGAAGTGACCATTCTAGAAAAGTGTTGCATGACCTTCAACATTGAGATAGCCTGAGGAATTTGTCTTTAGGTTTCTGACTATAGGGTTGACCAAAGCTGTAAATCGACATCAAGGATACAAATGGCACATTAAAAGTAATTTTGGTTCATTTCTCCGAAGCGATGCCACCGTGTCTTCCAGTATATCTTGGAAGTTAATGAGCAAAGTGTGTCCTTTAGAAAAAGAGCTCATAAATTAGAATGCTTGATCCCCTACTATTCCTCTACTATTAAAGTCAGGCTTTATTTGTTTATTTATTCAGCTTTTATACCACCCATCTGGCTATTAGGCCACTCTGGGTGATTTATGTATTAAACAAATAAAAAAATACAGTTATAAACAATGAACATAATAATATAAAATAAAAATGAAAATGAAACAGCCAATAATTAAAATAATAATACTATAAGTAATATAAAATAATATAGAGCAAGATAGCAGGGCTGATAGTATAAATGTTGAGATCACTCGCTGTAATCTCCTGTTGGAAAAGCCACATTTTTAACAATTGCTGAAAAATTCCCAGTGAAGGAGCCAGGTGGATTTCGGCCGGGAGGTTATTCCAAAGCTAAGGAGCCACCATCGAGACTGAATTCCCTCAACAGTGAGGGTTGTGTATTCTCATTTTCTCTGTCTCTATGATTTGGCTAAAATCCTGTTGCTTAGCATAATACATTGCAAAACTAGGCCCACTGAATCAGTAGAATGTATGGAGGAGTTTACTCACCAAGTCCCCAAGTGATTCAAACTGCAACTTGTTCTGCTTTGCAACAGGATTTCAGCTCCTGTAATTATCCCAAAACATTTCGATTGTGAATTGTTTTCATAATGCTTATTGAATATAATTGTTCCCTTACCTTCTCTTTTTCAAGCTTCCCCATCGATGTTTGGTCATAATGAATTTCTCAATAATTTGTGATCAGTTTTGGATGTTGGAGGTTTGAGAAAGGATTAGGATTCTTTCAGTACACGAGTCACTCCACCGTGTAGCAGCTCTACCTGAGATGGTTGAAGTGGTTATGGAGGTAGCTTGGAAGACACCAGGACTTTTGGTGTGCCATAATTTATATAATTATAAAATTTATATAATTTATACACAGTCATAAATGCCTAATTTTGATTTTAATGGAGTCCTTAGTTTAGTTACCATCCTGGTAATCCTGCAGCAATATGGTGAAAATGCAGGTGGGGAGGTACCAACTTCTATTAGCTAACCTCAAATATGCTTCAGTAACAGTAGTGGGAAATAATCATACTGAATACCATTATAACCTCAGTGGCTCATCATCCGGCCTCCCAGTAGATAATTTTTGAAAAAATCTTTATCCTTAAACATTTTTTTAAAAAAATACTATATTTATATGTCACAATAAGACACTAGAAATCCACAATATGTATTTCTGGAATATAACCAAATGCCTTGTTAATATCTCACAAAGTCTTTTTTTTTTCCAGATAGTTTGAATCATCTCCTTTGGAAGGGGAGGGTATGTGTATTTCTGTAAAGCAGATTACCTGGACTATTTGTTTTATTCCCCCCCCCCTTTAAATATCTGAAAGTTTCTTTCTACTGTATTCTGTTTTGACACTGCCTGTTAGTCTGAAGATTGAATTAGATTG